CCCCAAAACCCCAAAACCCCAAAACCCCGTGTGAGTTTTAATTTAAAATTCTTTAGATTATTTGAAATTCAATAGAATACTTGAATAAATTATTTTTTTAGTTTTGAAATGGGAAATATTAGTATTACAATATCAGACAACATAGTAGGAATTAAGCCTTAAGATGTAAAGATTACCCTTGACCATGAAATTGGTGCCTATGGAAAGTTAATGACAAATTGTATTTTATCATGAACTCTTAAGATATTAGGGAAACTGGATAAGATCAAAGTAGCTTATGATAAATTTAAGGACTTTAAGGGGAGAAAAAATTATAAATACATTACAATAAGAACATTTTAAGAGCTTGGATTCTTAGAACTCAACAGTTCGAGAGTCTTATTTAACTTTTTTGATACAAACCAAAGCGGTACTTTTGTCTTGTTATTATAATGCTTACAGGAAAGATTAATATATACATGTTCATAATTGTAGCAATATGGATGTCATATTCGAAGTTGAAATAAAAAATTTATTGTAAGCATTCTAAGATTAGTTAAGAAAAATTCTGACTATATTTGATGATAATCAGTTTATAGTCATAACGAAGATGTTTAGCTTGAGAGATGAATTAAGACTTTATCTGCATGAAATGATATTCATATTCGAACTCACTATTAGAGGACTGGGAAAGGTATTTTAGAAAAGAATGCCACCTAATGAAATTTTGAGAGTATGCGCGAAAAAAGCCTTTATTTCAGCTGATATGGACAATAATGGTTATTTGACTATTGATGAAATGGAAATGTGGTGCTATAACAATCTCGACTTCAAGAAATTCTTAATGAGATTCGGTAAATAGTACTAATATATAAACGATTTAATAGAAACCCCTAAAGTTATCCCATATGAGGCATGGACATTTGAAGACTTCCAATTGGTAGATTTCAGATGCTTTATAAACGAAGCTTTAAATACTTAGAGCGAACTTGAATACATAATGAGATGTAATTTGATGAAATAATTTTTAAACATTCCTAGTGACAAAGTCTTATAAACTTAAGTAAAAGTCTAAAAAGGGAGAATCATCAATGTCAAGGACGCATACATCTTCTCCTAATAGAAGAGAGAGTATTCAATTTGAGACAATGGATAAAATTTCACAACCCTCAATGCATCAAAGAGGATCATCTATGAATTTAAATTTGCTAAACACTCACACAACGACCTAGCCAACTTAGGCTCCTGGTACCAAGAAAATCGATTTTAAGTGACTATCAAAAATGAATCCTACTAAGATTCCTCATAATCTTATATTGAGAATGAGCTCAAAGTTACAAAATATGGTTAAGAAAAAGTATCTTATAAACCTTGATAAGCAATACTAAGAAGAAATGGAGAGAAGGAAAAATTACAAGTTATAGAAAGAACAATAGAGATTTCTGATGGAGACAGAGAAATAAGAATAGGAATTACAATAAACCAGAAAGACAATGAAAAAATCTTAAATATAATATAGGCTTCTTACTTATGCCAAGAAGCTTGTTAGTGAAAAAAAGGAATAGGACTCTCCAAAAAAAATTAAGATAAATAAAGATGTGGTCTAAGTGATTCATTATGAACCTAAATTCATGTCGCTTGAGAAAATTGAAATTAAAGATCCTATATAGATAAGGCCATTAACTGCTAGAGAGAGGCATAAAGAGGACATAGATAAAATGATAATGAAGTCAGGTCTCATCAAGAAAGACAACTTCATAGATTCACAAAAGAAGGAGATATTTAACGATTTAGAACTTTGCAAAAAATCAAATAAGATTATCTATATTGAGAATAATATTAAATAAAAAACAGCTTCCTCAACTAGCAGATAAACTAATAGTCATTATAACTTGGATATAATAAGTAGACTATTTGAGTTTTACAATAAAGCATTATTAATTAGAGTGAAAAAGGGGAAATTATCTGATTTAAACATTCTGATTAAAGAATATAAACTTGAGACAGATTACGTTGATAAATAGCTGCTTTTGACTTAGAATATTACATTTCAAGACTTCATGTACTCGTATTTGGGTCATATACTAAAGTAAGACACAATTTCAAAGATGTTTGATAAGTATGTTGAATAAGAGTCTGAGAATAGTATGCCATAGCAAGCTATAATGACTACAACAATAAATTCACATAGAACAAGCAATGATCATAGCCGAGCCTAAAGTAGTTATGGTAGAACATAAACTTTTAGAAGGACATAGTCGGGCTTTGATAGTGGTGCTACACCAAGGGATTCAAATATATTTGCTAGCTACTATGAGTTTACTAAACCTTAGATATATATTGAATACCCAAATAAAAGTTTGATCTCACATAGAAATGGAAAGACCCAAAACAGGCCATTTCTTGGATCTGCCTGGTCTAGTAAATAACTTTGATATTTTAAAGATAAGATAATTGCTATTTTCGAAAATGATTTAATACTGATGCTTGATTATATAAATGATATAAAAAACAAGAACACTTCAAATTTGCTATGATGGGGTTTTGGGGTTTTGGGG